GCATTTAGGCTTCTCCTCGACGGAGGAAGCGGGTTTGGGTGACCCCTTCTGTCAAGGCAGGAATGTTTTGCGAGGGATATGGACAAAATATCGCCTCTCATGGGGACTCGTAAAACGAGCGCTCGACACTTGGATAAAAATCCACGTGTAAGCACTAGGGCTCTTCCGCTAGTCGCGGGTAAAGGCTTTGCCAAGATGAATATCTTGAGCAAGAATCGATTTCTCCTACGCGTACCCCTGAGAAGGAGGTGACGCGCTTAGGCTTCTCCTCGACGGAGGAAGCGAGCTTGAGTATCCCGTGCGTACCCTTGAAAAAGTGGTAACGCATTTAGGCTTCTCCTCGACGGAGGAAGCGGGTTTGGGTGACCCCTTCTGTCAAGGCAGGAATGTTTTGCGAGGGATATGGACAAAATATCGCCTCTCACGGGGACTCGTAAAACAAGCGCCCGACACTTGGATAAAAATCCACGTGTAAGCACTAGGGCTCTTCCGCTAGTCGCGGGTAAAGGCTTTGCCAAGATGAATATCTTGAGCAAGAATCGGTTTCTCCTACGCGTACCCCTGAGAAGGAGGTGACGCGCTTAGGCTTCTCCTCGACGGAGGAAGCGAGCTTGAGTATCCCGTGCGTACCCTTGAAAAAGTTGTAACGCATTTAGGCTTCTCCTCGATGGAGGAAGCGGGTTTGGGTGACCCCTTCTGTCAAGGCAGGAATGTTTTGCGAGGGATATGGACAAAATATCGCCTCTCAAGGGGACTCGTAAAATGAGCGCCCGACACTTGGATAAAAATCCACGTGTAAGCACTAGGGCTCTTCCGCTAGTCGCGGGTAAAGGCTTTGCCAAGATGAATATCTTGAGCAAGAATCGATTTCTCCTACGCGTACCCCTGAGAAGGAAGTAACGCGCTTAGGCTTCTCCTCGATGGAGGAAGCGAGTCCAGGAAGACTCCATTTGTTTCTCTATGATCACTTTCCGCATTAGTGAATTTCCATTTCCTTTCTAGGAAGGCGGCGTCATCAGCTTCGAACGCTTCTTCTTCTGGTGAGGCGCCTACACCCTCCCGTGGGGAGTTCATGGGTGGCACCTCAACTTCCTGCATCTTTCCTCGGAGGCGCCTCCTCTCTTCCGTTGCTTCTTGTGAATTGGGAGGCGCCTGGTCGTTGGCCTTGGTGAGTGCCGTCAACGCGGTCATGACTTGGTCTAGTTGGCCTTGCATGCTCGCCATTTGAAGTGTTTGCTTTTCCCGAAGCTTTGCTAGCTGGCCCTCCAGGCACTCCGTGCCTTCTCTGTCTCCCAATGGATCGTCGTCGTCGGATGCTTCCAAACCTTGGATGGTGAGTGGTTGAGGGTTGATAGCCTCGCGACCAACAACTTGCTTGAGAGGGGTCTTCGTAGGTGCTGGACTCCTTTCTTCTCCCTTCTTTGAGTTGGAAGCGTCTTTCAAAGTCATGCTTGGCCCCACGGTGGGCGCCAATTTTTTGAGCCCAATCGACTGGGGGTCGCTCGGGTCCAAGGGGTTTGGGGTGTCAGCCATGACCTTGAGGGGGTAGGCGCCCCGCCTCGTCCGAAGTAGAAAAAGAGAAGAAGTATATAGAGAGAGAAAGTAGAGAGAAGTTAGAGTAAGAGTAGATAGATTGTCATTTATGAGAAGAGAACTCCTATTTATACACATTTGGGGGTTAGGTCGTGGTCTGGGCGCCTGCCAAGCCATAAATGCAGTGGTCGGGCGCCTCAGACTCTCTGACACTGTACATTGTACTTTTGGCAGGGGGTGTCCCCCTGCCCCTAGTCCTTGCTGATGTAAGGTGCCTGGACTTGTCTCCTTGTATCTTGGCCTTGTCTTTTTCCCTTTGTCTTCTTTTCTTCATTATGTCATTAACTAGGCTCTTGCCTTGGGAATTGCTAATATACCCTATCAATTGCCCCTTTTGGCGATGGCGCAAGTATTGCGGTATCGTCAAACCAGTCTGTCCTCTTCTGACACTGTACATTGTACTTTTTGGCAGAGGGTGTCCCCTCATACTCTGTCTTTGCTGATGTCAGGTGTCTGGCTTTGTCCCTTGTTCTTGTCTCTTAACCTTGTCTTCTTCTTCTTCTGATGTAAGTCTTCCAGGGTTTTGCCCCTATGTCTTGGCTTCTCTTGGACTCTTCTTGTAGACCTTCTCCAAGTATTATACTTTACCCTATCAGTAATCATTTCGTTAACATTCTTCTACCAAAATCAATTCGTTACGTGATGATATTATTAGGAGTTAATTGATTCCTACATTTAACGTTATGGTACAACTTCAGATTGTACCTATACTTTTTGTATAAATTCTTTTATGGTACAACTTGAACTTGTACCTTTATGCGATGGTACAACTACAAGCTGTAAAGTTGTACCATAACATAATGGTGCAAATTCCTCTATGGTACAACCTACACTTATACATTTAATGTTATGATACAATTTCAAGTTGTATATTAAAGCACCAATGCTATATAGCATAACAGAAGTGCTCGTCTAGATATAGGAGCATTAGGCCTTAACCTTAGAATACAAGACATTTGGCAATTAAGAGTTTCTAGTACTTTGGAATATCGCTTGCTGGAAGGATACCAATATTCTCCTCAACTCTTCTTATCTTTATTCAACGTCTCTAGGGTCGCCGCACCTCCATAACAGCCCTTTTTTGGTACAGTCAATTCAACAAATTATAAATGTATTATTTTATCAGAATCATGTAGGAATATTACTTTGAGCGTATATGTTTATTCATAAAAATTAATCTCGTACCACATCGGTTAGAAATAAGGAATTAAATGACTTTATAAGGACAACTTAATTATAACAATTAAAATCAATTAAGATAGGTCACGTGGATTGGATTTTTAGGCCCATGATAGCGATGGCAAAGCCATTATACGCCACTCCCAGGACGTGGTAAGGGGGTGGGCGTCATACCACCCCCAGAGCATCGCCCCATGGTATGACCAGGAGGTGGGCATCAACATATGCGCCATGACGTGGTAAGGGGGTGGCATCATACCACCCCCAGGGCGTCGCCCCATGGTATGACCAGGGGGTGGGCATCAACATATGCCCTCATGAGGTTGTCAGGGGGGTCATACAAGATACCACCCCCATGGTGTTGTCAGGGGTATGGGGCTCTCGTAAATAGTGAAGTATTTTTGTCATGTTCGATTCATGTGATTCGAGTATCCACCCATATGTGATACGTGATCTGCCTTCATGTCTTAGCCATTTTTTTCTCTATAGACAAGCGAAGCTATGAAGGAGATACCAAGAGCAGGGCGTGAGGTCTCAAGAGGAAGGGATCAAGACTGAAGAAGGTGGCACATCCAACGTCAGGGTAACCGTCATAGCAATTGAGAGGGTAACCGTCACTCCACGTCAGCAGAGTAGTTTCTTGAGGCAGTTACTTTTGGTGGCTATAAATAGGAGGTGAAGATAGAGTGAGAGCCAACCCGCCCAACCAATCCCTCATCCATCTGAGCCCTCTCTACTGAATCTTCTCCTTTCTCTTCTCTGATTTTTCTATCCCTCTCCCCAACTTCAAGCTGTTGGGTACCGGTAAGGGCGGTCAGATCCTGAGATTAGGGTCTGAGAAGGAAGAGAAGGAGGGAAATACGGCTGCTGGTGACAGTGTTGGTGGTGGTCGCCGCCGTCTCAGCGGTGGGGATGGGGAGTTGGAGAGCGAGGAAGAGAGGAGTGAGAGAATTTGTTGGGAACAACGGCGGAGTCGACGATAGAGAAGGATAGAGCAGGGATTTAGGGAAGATGTGAGTGACGTAAGAGATGGTGGAGAGTTTCAATTTGGCATAGGAGGCGTTGGAGATGTCACACTAGATGTATTCGATTGGGTGGCCGGTGTTCCAATTGGGGTGAGGGGAGCGAGTTATGTCGTAGACCTTCCACGGGCCACCAGGAGTGTCGGTGAGCATACTAAGTTGTTGCCCACGATTCCGGTGACGCCCACTACCAGGGCCACGCTCTAGTAACTTCGCGACAGCTCATCTTCATATAGCTTCTTCTACAGGAAGAAAATGGGGAAAGATGAACCAAGTCAGAGATGACCCAGTTTCAACTTGTCAAAACCGAAAGTGGGATGGAGATTTGGAGATAAATTAAGGTTTATTGTGAGATTAGCAAGAGATCATCTTAGCGGTTTCAATGGCGCCAACCCACCTCCAGCTCATCTTTCTAATAGAGGATTGAGTAACTGGGGAAGATTGGGATGCAGAAAGAAGTGATGTTTGCTCGAAGGAAGGGCAGGTCAGAAGGAAGTTGGTATTTATGAGCCTCGGTGGGATTTAAGGGTGGCAGTGGCGCGGGGAGGGGGGGGGGGGGTTGGAGGAGGAAGGTCGATTAATCAAATTTGAGGCTGACCATTCTCCGTAAGACACAACAACGAATGGAGGAGGTCGGCGGACAGGGGACCAAACAGTCACTTGGAAGCGAAGTTTCGGGGACGATAGGGCAGCCAGTGGGGAAGGGGCGAGATGGAAGGAGAAGGAGAGTCTGACGAGGAAAGTAAAAATGTGATGTGAGAGCTAGGTGGCAGCATGACTTGGTGTGTTGGAGCAAATGTGAAAGCTGAGGTGACATCCACATCAATGTCATGTTAACAATGTTAAATCTTTTAACACATAAATGTCTAATTATGTCAAAAGTTTCCAAAATGTGGCTACGACCTACGAATGTATATTTTTCAAAAAGTGACTATCCTATACAACTACAAGTGAATTAAGCCTAACTTGAGAGACAACAAAATTAAATCATGACAAGCCAAATAAGAAAAATATAAAATTTCAAAGTGGTTTCGATTTTAGTGCTTCGATCGATCCGACGGTGGAAATTTGGTTATGTTCTAACCTGTGCCTGCATAGTGCTATGCACCTGATGTTTGCCCTCTCTTACGTTCGCGACCTAGCTAGCTGAGTAGAACTCGTCTCTCTTTGTTCGAGTCGCAGTTTCTCAGCTTCGCACACAGCCTCCGCTCGAGTGAACTGCGAGTCAAAGAACCCGTTGTGGATTTGATTGGTTGAAGCTCGAATAAAGCATCTCGAAGTATGAGCGACTACGGCAGCGGAGGAGGTAGGCTAGACCGTAATGGTGCGGATCATGAGAAGGACGAATTCGGTGGCGGTGGCGACCCTGACAATCTTGGCGATTCCAAATCCCAGGTCTTTACTTCTACAGTCAGTTTGTTCTAGTTTAGGTTTAAACATAACCGGATAAATTTGCTTGAATTTGGTCCTTAAATTGCTCGAATCTATGAAGTTGCTGTATTCTCACCGATAGAACTTGTTGCTTGCAGCGTGACTATGAGAGGGATTCCGTGAGAAGTAGAGATAGGGAAAGGGTGCGTGACAAAGGTAGGGATAGGGACAGAGACCGTGACAGGGAGAGGGATAAGGATAGGGAGAAAGATAGAGATATTGATCGACACCATAGAGGAGGAGGGCGTGATAGGAATCGTCACAGAGATGGCAATGACAGGAGAGAAAGAGGCAGAGATAGAGGCGAGGATGATAATCACCGGAGCAGAGACTATGACAGGTATGGTTGTTTCACACATATTGAACTAGTTTGCTTTTCTAAATATTGGCTGTCAAAATGGCAATCAGTTGATATCTTTGGTGGTCTAAATGTTTAGCAGGCGAAGAGAAAATGATAGAGAGCGTGAAGATAGGCCCAGGCTTCGTTCTAAGTCTCCTTCGAGAGGTAGATCAAGGCAGAGATCGAAATCTCGTTCTCGGTCTCCCTCCAGTTCAGGATCACGTTCCAAGAGGTACCTACAAGCTATAATAACTAGTAATATAAAGAAAAAAAGGGTTGGTGTGAGGGGGTGGGGGCTCTAGATTAAATAGGGTTGTTCCTTTGCTTACTCCTATTGAAACTGATTATAGCAAAAGGGTGAGTGGCTTTGATTTGGCTCCTCCTGCATCTGCAATGGCTGCTGCTGTTGCTGCTGTCAATGCTGCTACTACAGGTACCCAGACAACTCTGTCTCTTAACTGCTATCTTTATTGGTTGTTTTAAGTACGATATGTAGTGGGTACCTTGCGTTATTGAATTCTGTTAAAGCACAAGTCCCAATTTCGTTTCTCAAAGGGGAAAATTAGAGCTTGAAAACAGTTCTTAAATGATATTGGTCACATTGTCTTGCTTTATATTTTATTCTTGCTTACTATGAAATTATTCTGGAACTGAGAGAGCTTTTGGTTTTTGTTGTGTTTTTGGTGTTTGTTTGTTGTTTCCGTGTCTTTGTTTTTGTTGTGAGAAGGAACTGTTGGGCTGGTTGCCCCACTGTGCTGACAATGGCTTATGAGCTGACACCCCATAGCTTAAATGTACAAAGAGGAATCAGGGCACCAGTTTGATGGTTGTTGTTCGTCTCTCAGCGGGAAACTATTGCCTGTTTTGGTAGTTTTGTGAATATTTCCTCCGAAACCTGCATCTTTAATATACCTTTTCCCCATCTTTTCCTTTACCTTTTCCTAACAAGTTAGTCTGCAGTTACAAAAAGGATATGGCAGTTTTGTCAATCGTTAATTATAGTTAAAGTTCATCTACAAGGTCTTCTAACTTTCGGCTCATTACCTTTGCAGGCCAAATTCCTGGATCCGCTCCTCCCATCCCAGGAATGTTTCCAAACTTATTTCCGACTCCTAATGGACAGGTATAGCTTACTCAATATTATAATATATTGATTATGCCTTTCTGTGGTTTGTTCTAATTTCATGTTGTGTATTTTAACACTAACAGTTTGGTTCTCTGCCTGTCATGCCAATTCAAGCAATGACTCAGCAGGTCTGTTTGTTTAAGATGCTTAATTACAGTGTATATCATGCTTCGACCTTGGTTTAATTTCTCTAGTTTTCCCCTGTTCATATGTTGTCTCCCATGCTTCCAGGCTACTAGGCATGCTCGGCGGGTCTATGTTGGAGGGCTTCCACCATCAGCCAACGAACAGGTAGCTATTCTTCATTTTTTTCTAGTAGATCTTCAGACTTTTTCCGCTCTGACATGCTCTATCATACTGCAGTCTGTAGCTACCTATTTCAGTCAGGTCATGGCAGCCATTGGAGGAAACACTGCTGGCCCTGGTATGTTGTTAATTTAATCATATGTTATGTTTGTTTTCATTGAAAGCAGTGAATCTGCCCTTGATTTTCCAGTCCCTGAACCTATTTGTTTGTTTTTATAAGGGGATGCTGTTGTAAATGTCTATATAAATCATGAAAAGAAGTTTGCATTTGTGGAGATGAGATCTGTTGAGGAGGCCAGTAATGCCATGGCTCTAGATGGAATTATCTTTGAGGTAGAAATCTGCTTCTTTGGAATCTTCATCTATGAGTTGTACAGTATGGTGTTGATATGGGCATCTACTGACTTATTCAGTTCTTTTTTGAAATTTCAGGGTGCACCTGTCAAGGTACGTCGGCCTAGTGATTATAACCCCTCCCTGGCTGCAACACTTGGTCCTAGCCAACCCAGTGGTAACCTTAACCTTGCCGCGGTTGGATTAAGTCCTGGCTCTTCGGGTGGGCTCGAGGGTCCAGATCGAGTATTTGTGGGCGGGCTACCGTATTACTTCACAGAACCACAAATCAGAGAATTGTTGGAGTCTTTTGGGGCTCTTAGAGGTTTTGACCTAGTGAGAGACAGAGAAACAGGAAATTCAAAAGGATATGCTTTTTGTGTGTATCAAGATGTTGCTGTTACAGATGTAGCTTGTGCTGCTTTGAATGGAATTAAAATGGGTGATAAGACTCTCACTGTTAGGCGCGCCAACCAAGGCAGCAGCCAACCTAGACCTGAACAAGAAAGTGTACTACTACATGCCCAGCAGCAGATTGCAATACAGGTAATCATAGTCTGAATTTTTAATTTAGTTGCACATTTGTTTAATTTGGTCTAGTTTTACTGATGTTGGTTGTCTTTGTGCAGAGGCTTATGTTACAACCTCCAGCAACTAAAGTTGTATGCCTAACTCAAGTGGTTACTGTGGACGAGCTCAGAGATGATGATGAGTATGAAGAGATAATGGAGGACATGAGAACAGAATCCAGTAAATTTGGTATCATCTTTTACCCCTACCATTCCTGAGTTAATGACAACAAAAAAGATCTGTCAAGTGATTTGTTTTGTTTTGTATCTTGTGGTTTGTATGTCTGTTTTCCAGCATCTTGTAGTCCTACGGTCTGCTATAGAGAACCAGCCCTAAGATACAGCGACAGAAGGCTGCTTAATCTCCTCTTAATATATATGCACTGTACTGTCGATGTATTTGTGTTTTGGCTTGGCATATTTTCATGTTCTTAATGCAGGTACATTGGTGAATGTCGTCATCCCTCGCCCACAACCGGATGGTAGTGCTTCTCCAGGTGTTGGAAAGGTAAGTTAAAGATTGTTTATTGATGGTTGATTACTGTCTTTTGAGACTGTTGTAGAGCTGTAGTTGATCGACGAATTCTTGTTATTGTGTGGAAATACAGGTGTTCCTGGAGTACGCAGATGTTGATGGTGCAACAAACGCCCGAGCAGGTATGAACGGGAGGAAATTCGGCGGCAATGAGGTGGTGGCTGTGTTTTATCCAGAACACAAGTACAATGCAGGAGAGTACGATGGCTAATGCCATGGGATGGGAACTCTACAACTCTGCGGAATGTTTGTTGGATTGTGTACTTTTGTTATAGTTTCTTCGTCAGTAGAGCTGTAGGCGGCTGATGAAGATTGATGATGTGATCATTTTAGCCTCTGAATGATAATATTATTATATGTAACTTGATGATTACTACTACGCTCTGTCTAGGCTCTCTCACCAACTCCCAACTGTGTAATGCTTACTTCTCTTTTTCGTTCCTAGAATGAATTTCAAGACACAGAAAAGCATGTAGCAATGGAGTTGCATGTCTGCAGCAGATGTTTGTTTACTATCTAGTCTTTCCCAACACATGCATCATTGCATCCGAGATAGAAGAAAGAAAAAATTTGGAATTGGTTCTCCAAGTACCATGCTCCACTCCCATAATGTCGTTGACAAATTAAGTTTAGGTGAGGAATTGTAAGTACTCTCCTTTGCAAGATTCCTTTGAGTTGGGTGTTCTTGTCTTCTCTTTGTCGCGTAATCATCTATGAGTCTTTAGGCATCAACATATGGTGTACTTAACACTAATTGCAGTTAAGAGGGATGATAACACTCGATTTGTATTGTGTTGTGTTAATACTAACTGTAATCAATAGTAATAATTCGTTTGATGAGTTTTTTATATTTAAGGGTTGATCACGATTAATGCAGCTTTTTAAAGGATGGACAAATTTGTCATTTTAAAAAATTATGGGGTGAACACGCTTGTGTCGCTGTTCATTTATTCAGTGTATAATCTTTAGCCGGTAACGACCACAAGTCTCATAAAACAAACAAGAAAAATGCATACTAGAAACACGACAAACCATACCAGACAAAACATAAATAGACCATAAAGCATACAAGAAAATATAGAAAACTGAACACAAGTTTTCTAAAGCATATAAGAAATTATAGACCATAAAGCATACTAGAAAATATAGAAAGCTGACCACAAGTTTCTTAAAGCATATCAGAAACCTCACAAAGCTTCCACAAGTTTTTAAAGCATGCTAGAAACTTCACAAAGCTGACCACAAGTTCGTTGAAGCATATAGAAAACCCTAATAAAGTCGACTACAAGTTCCTTGAAGCAAACCAGAATCCTCATAAACCCGACAACAAGTTTCGTAAGCCATACCGGAAACCCCATAAAGCTGATCACAAGTTCTCTGAAGCATACCCAAAACATCATAAACATGTCCACAAATTCCTTGAAGCATACCAAAAAACTCATAGAGCTTACAACAGGTTCCATGAAAGTAAACCACAAATATGTGCAACCACACCATAACTTTCGTAAAGCATACCAAAATGACGAGAAACCGCACCAGAAACCTTACAAAGCGAACCAGAAACATCATAAAGGATGAAAAGGTAATATATTTTTTTATAATGATAATATAATTTTTTTTACAAGTAACCCTCTGATATTTTTTACATGTAGGGAAAGAAGTAGGGTGGAGGCAGGGGGCAGAGAGCAACGGGAGGAGGACGATGTGGAGGAAGAGCCTACTATATACCGTAGTTACTATAATACTCTTATTAATTATTTTTAGCATGGTGCTAGCATATAGGATGTTATAATAGAAATAGAGTATTATCGGGTACTATTTGTTTTGGGATTTTGAAAATTTATTTATGAGTTTAGGGAGATTGCAGTGATCCGCGTGAAGGAGAAGATACCAGACTACGAGTTCGTGAGCCTGGGAGGTGGGTTTGGGTTGTTGGACATGAGGTCTAGTGAGTAGGAGCAGGATTTGGAAGCGGGTCATGGTGAGTTGGGCCAACCGGGTCCAAACCCCATGGTGGAGCCGGATGAGTTGAGCTTGGAAGACCATGAAGGAGCATGGGTTGACTCAGGTCAGCCTATAGGAGGGTCGTGCCGAACAGATGACATGAACTTGTCAGGTAGGGTCGAATGTAGTCAAAATCACAATTTAAAACTTGAAAGCTTACGCTTTTATGCTTCTAGGTCACCAAAACGTTTCTACGTAGAATAACACTTTTCCTTACTAATGTAGTCAACATCGAGCTATAAAGCTGAAAAGCTAACGATTTTATGTCACCAAAATGCTTCTACATAGAATCACGCTTTTGACTACATTGGCAGGGTCAAACCAGACCCATTCAAATAAGTATTGGACAAATTAGATTTGCACCAAACCGATTCGTACCCACCCAAACAGCAGGGGCAACGACAAACATGAAGGATGGAAGGGCTATGTTGAAGGGACAAAGTCGATCTATCCAGCCATGGTGACTCTTAAGGGCAAAAACTACCGCTTGAAAAGGAACTAGGAGATAGGACAGTGCTCGAAGACAGGAGCAGAAGGCCACATTGGGTATCCATGGGAAGAAGACGCTTTGGAGTTTCCCGATCTGCCTAGGCTAAATAGGGAGCAAGGGAACTACTATGGTCACCAAGGCGGGGGTGACATTGGCATGTATGGTGGTTATAACCCCACTTTTGATCGAGATGAAGATTAAGTTTTTAGGGCTAAGCTTCCGACCATTGAGTTCCCAAAGTTGAATGGTCAAGAGAATGTTGCGCTGAGGTTGTATGTAACTGACCGGTGGTTAAGAACCATCTCACACAAGAGGATAGGAAGGCACATATGTCATCTTTATACTTAGTGGGAGATGCCTCCAGTGGTGGAAATGAATGTAGAGGTCCTATGCACATGCCAAGATGTTGATCACATTACCCAAGTTTCATGAGGAACTTAGGTTCCAGTCTGGGAGACTAGAAGGGTGGGTTCCAAAACAACTTGCTAAACTGAGGCAGACTAGGACAATGGATGGGTACCGGGCCGAGTTTTTGAAGTTAAGGAACATGTGCAAGGCATGAAAGAGAAATTTTTTGGTGGACTTGTGCATGGCAAGTCTAAGGCCCAAATTAGATGCAGTTGTGAAAGTGTTTGAATCCAAAGCAGTTAAAATCGGGATTTTACGTAAAATAAAAAATGGGGGTAAAATCGGAATCGTAAAATCGAATCGTAAAATAGTAGGATTTTAAGGTCCATATAAAAATGTAAACGAAATAATATTAGTAAGGAAAATCATGAATAACACAAAAGCACATAACACTTACAATGATAAATTTTCAAGGTTAATGTTCCAATTTATCAAGGTTAATGTTAAGAGGTGGTGAATCGATGAGGATTAATACGTTGATGTGAATTGATTATAATTAATGGTGGTTAGTGTGAGAGAACTAGATGATGTTGGTGAAGGAGAAGAAAAAGAGGCGTAATTTTGCAAATTCGGGGGGGGGGGGGGAATGTAAAATTGACTCTAAGATTTGAATCGTAAAAACGTAAGATTTTAAAGATTTTAAGGATTTAAATCGTGAATAGTGTAGGATTTTAAGGTCCATAGATTTTATAGTGAAATCAGAATCGGAATAGGTAAGTAAAATCGTAAAACCGTAGGATTTTAGGATTTAAATCGGGATTTTGACTACTCTGTTTGAATCTGAATCTTTGCCAGTTACATTTAGACTTGCATGTAGAAACGATGATGAGATTGCCAGCTAGCGGAGCAATGTCGGTCACTTTCAAAAGGTGATCAGTGGAGGAGCATGTATAGGGGAGGAACAGTGACCGCAACGACACAAACACAGGAGCCGTGACCCCCGCTTGCCATTAAGGGACTTTGTGAGACCGATTTCGTCAGAGATTGAGGGGAAGCGCATGGATGGTAGTTGCTTTAACTGCAACGAGAGGTACACGGTGGGGGTACCAATGTGTCAATGCCTACTTGATGCTGCCTGTGGGAATATGCAAGGATGAGGTCGATGAGCTGGCGATCGAGGAAGGAAAAGTGAATTAGGATGCACCGGGTTCAACCTTGAGGGAAAGGTTGTTGTCGAGGAGGGGTGGTATGATAGAAACCGGGTCTACTATTATTCTATCTGTTTTGGTATTTTGAACAATTATTTATGAGGTTTGGTATTTTTGTTATTTGTGAATTATTTGGTATTTTTATGCTGGTTTTTGGGATTATTTTGCATTTTTGTAGTAGACATAAAATAAAGATAATTAAAGGGAATCCATCGGGTTATATATTGTACACTTGAGACTTGATTAATTAAACTATATCAAAATTAAAATTTTCCTAAATCTAATTATCTCTCTCCCTCTCTCTTAGCCGAACCCCTTTCCTCTTGCTGTCATCGTACACCATAAACCATAAAGAGTCGAACTCTCTTCTTCCCTTCTCTTCCCAAATTCCCTCATTTCCCCCTCTTCCTTCCTCAATCTATTCCCTAATCTATCAAATCTCTCATCCCTCATCTATTTCCACTCCCATAACCCGAGTTGAAGGCACCCTAAGTTCCCAAGTTCTATTATATTAGCACCCTATCCAATCTTAGAGTATTAGCCTATCCATTGAACATGTTGATATGACTTGAATCGGACTATCAGCCGCTACGACTGGTAATCGGGGGTCTCGCTGTAAGTTTCCGGCCCACGGTGTATGGGCTCAATGTTATTTGGGTTCGGGTTCTGGGCCTGGTCTGTAACCGCTTCCTTTGCCATATTGGATTAGGTTTAGACCCACATGGAGAAGTACTATAAATACTTCTCATACTCCTCTGTAATCTGTAATCTCCTCGATATAGTGAAATCGGCTCTCTCTCGCCCGTGGACGTAGCTAACACACATCGTGTTAGTGAACCACGTAAATCGTGTGTCGTGTTTTCGATTCTCGCTTTCGTATTCTTGCTTTGTTGATTCCGGCGATTTCCCGATCCGTAGCAGCGCGTTTATAACAAAACACTTTGAGTTAGAAGAATAGTGTTGCTTCTAACTATGCAGGAGATAGAACAGAGTTGCTGTAAGTTCCTCTGGGGGGTGGATGATGACTCCATGAGAATGAAAGTAGTCATGGCCTGGGATTTGATAGCAATTCCAAAGAAAGAAGGGGGGCTTGGCATTCGCTGTCTAAAAACTTGGAATATAGCCTGCACTACGAGACACATATGGGCCCTGCTTGCAAAAGAAGGGTCCTGGTGGGTTGCGTGGAATTACTTATATCGTATTAAACAGCTAAGTTTCTGGGAATTAAGAGTGAGCAGCACATCTTCTTGAATTTGGAAGAGATTACTAAAGGTAAGGGATAAGGTGGAAGGTTTTTTTCGATGTTGGGGTACACAGGTTTATTGGAAGGATAAAAGGGTGTTGAAGTATTCAGTAAAACAGGTCTGGCAGGATTTACAGCCTGTTAGACCTTCAGTCCCTTGACACTAGCTAGTATGGGGTAGACACTCAGCTCCAAGACATAGTTTCTTAAGCTGGGTGGTGACGCGAAATAGAATAACCACATTGGCTCAGCTGAAAAGCTGGGGAAAGGTGCAGGATGATACATGTCTATTCTGTTATGCTCACACAGAGGATAGAGATCACTTATTCTTCCAATGCAGTTACACGTTTGAGGTGCTGAAGGGTTGTTTGCAAATGCTTGATCAAAGATGTCCTCAGCTGGCTACTTATGATGACTACTTGCAGTGGGCAGCCCGAAAGTTCAAGGGGAAGAAAGCTCTAGCATTGGTGGGTCGTTTGGTCTGGAACTTGGTAGTTAGTCTGGTCTGGCGGGAAAGGTGTGGAAGGTTGTATGGAGGTAAGTCAATGCAGCATGGGGAGGTGATTCGTACAGTCAGAAGATTGATTGAGCTGGCAAGGCAAGGAAATGCAGCACTGGATCTGGATTGTAGAGCTGTTTTTATGCAGTAAATGCATTAGCTGTGTAGTTGCGGTAACTAGTAGGAGTTTCGTTTGATGTATAGAGGTAGTGAGAGGTAGAGTAGTTATTGTTAGTTGCAGAGTGTATGATCAAGATGTGTTTACACACATAGAGCTTAATAAAATTTTTTGATATTGCCCATAAAAAAGAAAAAATAGTGTTGCTTCTCCACCTTTGCACTGGTAGGTTGAGATAGTGAATAACTTATTTTTGTGTCTGTTCGTCCAACTATTAAACTTAAGGTTGGGGGAAGTGTGTTCCTCGCCATTGCACTCTAGGAATTAGGAATGAATGTCACCTTTTAGTTTAGCGTCCACATGTAAACGTGGATGACCAATGTTTTTTCTCCCCACTGTGGATCATTGATGATGTGAAAAAATTCATTAAATTGCATAATTTACTCGTTTAGTATACATTTTCCTTGATGATATTGGTGGAGCAGGATGGTGAAAGCAGTGTCAAAAACTCGAAAGAGGGTAAGATAAGTAATAGGGAGTGGCAAATTTGACAATTCATGTCTCATATTGTTGAGATCGAGTCAATCCAATCATGATCGGTGAAATTTTGACGAAAATCCATAGAATAATTAATGGTGGAGTTTTTCTTCCTTTTCACCATTCAAAAATTCCAGCCCTCTCCTTAATTTCCGTTAGGGGCATTTTAGTCCGATTTTCTCCATTATTTTTAGTCTTCCCGCCCAAATGCCGCAGGAATTGGACCCTTAACTGCTAAAAATGCCTAAAACCCTTTATACTGCCCACATACAAAGTCCAACATATTAATTGACCAACAACAAACATTGATCTGGGCCCATCCTATCTATCGAACCTTTCTTTTATCAAACTTTTTTTCTAAAGATTTTATTAAGCTTTTAAGTTAGCATTTAGAAGGTAGAACTAATCAAACGAAAAAGTTACCAGTTTGTACAGGAAAAAAGTAGCAAATTGTGCCTGTCATTAGTTTAATTAATTCCAAAATCTAGGTGGTAGAAATTGGTGCCACCCCGCTACGCATTTTGTGTATAACCACAACTGTTATACTACCCACAAATCTCAGATGATACTCGCTATAAAATTTCACTATGACATTGAGTTATTTAGCCTTTTATGAACTTATTTCTCACTCCTTAAATTACCATTAATTTTCAGAACTATAGTGAAGCAATCATATCTTTGTGCAAACTATAAGAGACTGTTCTCTGAACATTTTTTTCCACTTAAATACTAAGTTTTGAAACTCTTTCTAGGGGTGTACGTGGGTCGGTTCGTTTGGATTTAGATATTTTAATCACCTAACTCATATACCACGATTTTGAAAACACTAAATACAAACTCACCCAAATAATTTAGAATTTTAACGGTTTGTGTCCTCCATACCAAATGAACCAATTTACATGTCGCTTAACTAAGGACGATCTCATTGTCCAATCCCATCATTCTAATGTCAATCCATAAAAGTAACCCATATTCGTGTTTGTTAACACATGTTTCACATTGTCATTACTGTGACCAGTAACTTCGCTGCAACTGATTCGGTATTGCTCATCATATGGCCTCCAAACTGATAAACATATCGGGCCAACAGTTTTATGACAAAACTCAAAGTGAAGACAACTCATCGTCTGGTGAAATTTTGGCACTTGCTAGTGTCCATTAATCTAATTGCAAGCATACTGATTGCTAAAATTAAACTTTCACGCAACATACAGGGAGTTGGAGGTATGAACTTGGAGTAATAGTTGATATTGGGTTTGGGAAGGGAAGTGGTTAGAGGAAGAAATTGTGTTTGGATTTGGTAGCAGGTAAATTTCATGGTTCGGGTTCTTTTCGTAAAATGCTTTGATTTATTTTAGTTGGAGGTTTAATATCATGGTTATGTGGATCAAATGAACCAAAAATGAGTTTGGGGGATGGGAATTCCAACTTAGAAGGAGTGGATTAGATTTTGATAAACTCGAGTTCATGATTAACTGAAAAAATATTTAGATTTAGACTTTGTGGTATTGAGATGTTCATAGAGAGTTTAAAACTGATCCAAGTCCATGAATTAATATTGGTTAGTTGATTTTGATTTTGAGGAAGGTGTATAAAAAGTCATGGAAGTAGTTTACAGCAAGTGAAGGCAGTGAAGAGGCAGTTGGTCAGGGTAGTGATTGGACCAAGGAGGGTATTGAAATACATAGAAGCAAAATCGAAGCTGTTGAAGAGAGAGAAGTGGTAGATGATCAAGATATTAATGAAAATGGAGAGGGTATTGAAGGGCATGTAAGTGAACTGGATCAGGTGAAGGCAGAGAAGAGGAGAAGAGCATATTGATGAAATTGAAGATGAGTGTTAGTTTTACGAGCTTATTAAAACTGCCCTGAGGAAGATGAGTTTGCCAAATACAAGAAAGAGGATTGAGGAGTTGGAGATCAAGCTGAAAAGAAACTCAATTGAAAGAGAAATTCATGTTCATGGAGAGAAGGTCCATCAAAGTAGCATAAATGGAGTTGCAGAAGGAGGATTATAAATTGAATTTTGGTTTAAAACATATACGTCGAGAGATTGAAGATGGAGGGGATAAAAAGTTGGTTGTACAACGGAGAGTGGAAACTATTGTATCTTTAGGTGTTATGGTTGTTGCAACTATATTTCTGGACAATCTATTAACCAATATCATTTTAATGGGGGCTCAATTATCATTATGAAAATGGGATTAATGATACATTTTTATATTCTTAAATGAGGAGGGTATTTCCCTGAATGTTTGACATATATATTCATTCTGTATGTAGCATCTCGATTGAATGATTTTCAATAAACTTAAACGAATTAATAGACTTAAACATAACATAAAAATAAAAATATTAAAATATGAACATTCCGACCAACGGGCCGGGTTATAAGCTAGTTATAAGAGAGACAAACTCAAAAAGTCAAAAAATTGTAGATATGATAGGAGGATGGTTTCGACCTAGAAAATAGTGAAATGATGCTATTGAGAAAATTTGTGTAGTAAAAGGTAAAGTCTGTATGAATCCCATTTTCTGATAATATCTGAGAAGAGAGAAATGGAACGAGTGGGGGGCTGAAGGTGAAGAGTGTAACTCTGATTCTAAAACCCTAGCAAAAAACCCAGTTGCCTTGCCGAAGTTAGAACACACTTCCACCGAAGCCTTCCAACCACAGAAAATAGAAGTGTCGAAGAAACCATGGCAGCTTCTTCCCTTCCCCTCCGCCACCTCCGCCACCTCTCCACCGCCGCCGCTGCTGCTGCAGAAGCCGCCACAACAGCTGCTGCTTCTTCCTCCTCAATCTCCATCTCGAAGGCGAAATCCAAGCTCCGATCCGAACACGATCCCGACAAGGCCCTGAAAATCTACTCTTCCGTCTCCGACCGCTATTCCTCCCCTATCTCCTCCCGCTACGCCCAGGACCTCACCGTCCGGCGCCTAGCCAAGGCCCGCCGCTTCTCCGACATCGAGTCCCTCATCGAGGCCCACAAGTCCGACCCTAAGATCAAGCAGGAGCCTTTCCTCGCCACTCTGATCCGATCCTACGGCCTCGCCGGGATGTTCGACAACGCTCTCTCGACCTACAACCAAATGGACCAATTGGGTACTCGTCGATCCTCCATCTCTTTCAACGCCTTGCTGTCTGCTTGCAACCAGTCGAAACGTTTCGATCAGGTCCCAATCTTGTTCGCCGAAATCCCGTCCAAATACGGCGTCAAGCCTGATAAGATCTCGTACGGTATCTTGGTCAAGTCTTACTGCGAGTCCGGGAAGCCAGAGAAGGGTTTGGAGATACTGAGAGAAATGGAGGAGAAAGGAGTGGAAGTGACTGCCATCACTTTCACCACCATTCTGGATTGGCTCTACAAGAAAGGGAATAGCGAAGAGGCTGAGAGGCTGTGGAATCGAATGGCGAAGAGGGGTTGTGAAATTGACGTTGCTGCTTATAACGTTAGAATCATGAATGCACATGATAAAGAGCCTGAGAACGTCAAGGAGTTGATCGAAGAGATGGGGACTTCCGGGTTGAAACCCGATACTATCAGCTACAATTACTTGATGACTTGTTACTGCAAGAAGGGTATGTTGGAGGAAGCTCAAAATGTGTATACGAGGTTGGAGGAATTCGGGTGCAAGCCGAATGCCACCACTTTCAGGAGTTTGGTTTACTACTTGTGTCTGAACGAGAGGTTCGAGGCCGGGTACAGGGTGTTCAAGACTAGCGTGGGGCACAACAAGATCCCGGATTTTAATACGTTGAAGCATTTGGCTGAAGGGTTGGTGAAGAAGAAGAAGATTAAATCTGCGAAAGGGTTGGTTCGCACGGTTAAGAAGAAGTTCCCACCTAATGTGTTGAATGCTTGGAGGAAAGTTGAGGAGAATCTTGGCCTTGCATCTGTTAGTGGTGAGGGTGAGGGTGATAATGAAGAGGAAGAGGGAAATGAAGATGAGAATCGAGAAGCATCAGCTCAATGATGAAAGAAGACAAGGTTGTAAGATTTTTATTCTGCTACCTGTGGATTTACTATTATCTCATAAAGTAGCAGTCGTGATTGCTTGAGTTTGGCTTCATAGTTTAGTTCTAGGAAAGATGTAACGGCCATAGCTGCTGAAGTGCTAAACTGGGGCTGAGAAGTTAATTTTTCGAGCTTCACGCATACATAACTTCGGTATATGATCTGGTACTTCGTGTCGAGGCTGTCGAGGCTGATCAACATGTGATATGAAGTTTTGTTTTCAGCTCGGATCCTAATTTCTATGAAGGTTTAAATTAGTTTGTAGTTTCAGGTCAAGGCAGCTGCTTCACCTATTTCTGTGCTGTACTAAGGTTCTTGTTGCATGTGTGGAAGAGAGCACAAGCAACTGCCTAGCCAGCCAGCTATGAGCTACCCCATACTTTTGGGGCGCATACAAACAACATGTTCTAGAGATGGAGGAATAAACCGCCACGAAACCCAGAGTTTCAGTTTTTATTGATTTCTACAAATCACACTATCGACCACCACCAAACCAATCTGCCTGTGTCTCCACTCTGCCTATATATAGTGACCCCATACACAAGATTGAGTACACTAAACCTGAAGCTTAGTACTCCACGGGAAACAAGATTTGAAAGTCGAGCAAGCCAGGGGAAACTAATCAACTATCGATCAATACAGAATATGGAGAGCAGAGGGCTATCTGCTGCATTGGCAATGATGTTGGTGCTGTTGCTCGCCGCTGGCAGTGGCCAGTGCCAGCCGTCGTCGTTGGCTCCTGCTGATCAGGGCAACTACTACAGAGGGCACAAGGCATGCGACCCACTCTGTTTCGTCAAGTGTGCGCTCACTGCAGGGGATATAAACTGCTACGGCGACTGCATACAAGAGTGCCTCGTCCAGCCTGCCGGAGAACCCGATCCTGACGATCACCAGGCCACCTGCATGGCCACCTGTGCTGTCCCCGCCTGCACCGAGCTCAGCACCAAAGCTGAACCATGTATGCATATATATATATATATATGCACCAAACTCGTGTAGCTAGTTTTCCCATACAATTATACGATCTCGATCTAACTGACTTTGGCTTTGTTCTGCTATATATGTTTGCTTTGATTAGTCTCCAAGGATGTGGAACTTTGCCTGGAGTCTTGCGCAGATCACTGTACAGCGAAGAAGGCTGAAAAGCAGCAGCAGCAGCAGCAGCTCAATCATTCGCCATGAAGTGAAGGATATGTTCGGTTCAGCAATGGGGATGGACCATCGTAAATGTTCGACTCAAATTAGCATCTGTAGTAAGATAAAGCTGAAAAAAACGGACACCCAAATTTACTAAGTAATAGAATGAAAGAATGAGGGTCCATGTGCAATAGCCAATACTGCAGTTCATGTATCAATTTCACATTTCAACTATATAGTTTGATAACTGAAGTTATTCATATTTGGTTTCTTATCTCACACATAAGAGGGTTAAGTAGAACTTGGGTATCAGTCCACTCTACTGATCAATGTCGGAAAACGAATTATTTGCTTTCTTAATCATAATGTTTATTATAAACGAGAATTTTAATGGTATTAAAAATTGTGTAAATTTATTACGAAGTGGTAGGAATTCCTGAAAAGAAAAGGTGAAAAAGTGTAACAAAATGATCAGTTTGGTTTATCAAACTTACATGGATTCGACAAATTTTTGATTACACAGTCATCAACACCAATGTGCAATTTCAGCCATCTCAGCCATGTATCAGTTTACCAAACAAAAAAGCATGAAGAAAGGCTTTGCACAGTGGCTGAGAGATCTTCCATGGGTTTCGACGAAAAGTTGCAGACACAGCTCCATTTGTACTAAAAGGATCAATTCAGCAGTCAGTTAAGAAACAGCTCGATTCAATCTTTATAGGGCTGACTTTCAGTTAAAGGGTACAAAAACAGTAGCACATGATTAAAACCCAACTCCAACTTTAGCCCATTTCTCCCTCCCAACCTGCCTGAAAGGAGATTTCCAGTTTCCCACAACTTGATTCAGTAGCAATGCTTCATAGAAAATAGTTTACATTATCATCTATCTTCCTAGATAATGCCTCGACAGTTCCTAACGTGAGCAACAATAGATGATACGAGAAACTTCTGAGAGACTAAAAACCTGGTGATGGCATGAGAGGGTAAGAGAGCAGTGATTGTGGATGTAATCAATTTAAAGGTGGCGGCGGCATCATATTTGGAGGCGGAGGAGGTGGTTGCATCTGTTGCATGAGGGGCCTACCAGCCAGCTGCTGGGGAGGAGGTGGCTGCCGCCACATTTGTTGTGGTGGTTGACCTCCCATCATTGACATTTGCTGAGGTGGAGGTCTTGCAAAGCCACCAGGAATTCCCTGGGGAGGTGGTGGTGGTGGCATGTTTGGAGGCGGCGGCCTGAAATGAACTGGAGGCGGTGGATGCATATGCCCCATGGGTTGACTTGGTTGTGGAGGCTGACCCTGCCAATGGGGTTGTCCACCACCCATCTGCATTGGTGGGAAGGCCGGGTTTGGTGCACGCAATTGAGGGACTACTGGACTTGCAGGAACAACGCCATTTGCAAAAGGGCGTGGTGGCACTGGTGCACCACTTGCCTGAGCGACACCAGGTAGTGTAGGAGGTCCACTGGCAAACATGGTATGGGGCCGACTTTTTTGAGTATTCTGATTGCTGGCAGCCAACACTCTCTCTGCATTGTGAACCCAACAAGTTAAATAGTGTCCAAGCATACTCATGAAACAAAGAACCATCACAACCAGATGATAAAGTAACTTAAGGAATAAGAACACTAAAATAGTCCTCACCTGCCACGGTCCCATGACGCTCTCCTTTAGTGTCTTTCTTATAAGCATAAGACACTGTTATTTGACGATTGCAGAGATATTGCCCAGTCATTGCCTGTTAGAAGTCCACAAGTCAGAAATACATTACCAACAAAAACATTCTTTGAATCATCAACATAGACAAAGTCTTGAATAGTAATTATTTTGGATTATCAAATTCTGAAACATGATTCTTATGGAATGAAATTACCTCAATGGCAGCATCTGAAGCCTCGAAAGAGTCGTAACTAATGAAACCAAAACCACGGGAATTGCCTGTTTCAGGATCTCTCATTATCTATAAATGAAAGTACCACGAGTTAGTACAAATAACCAAAGGTGCATATTTTGTAGGTAGTGAACTATAAAAAGGATTTAAAAGTGGCAAAAGAATCATAGCAACCCAAAAATGAAGTCAAGGTCAATGGCCATGGGCTCAGTAAATAACAAGTATGTAAACAAACATAAGATACAGTTGCTTAGGGTTCCTAAGAACTGTTGCTAGTTTAGTTCACACTTTAAGAAAAGATAACAAAGATTTATCTGTAGATTGCACACAAGATGTGAATAGATACATAACTCCAGCCATAATGTCAAGGAACTTCAACAACTTTACTCCTTTTCTTATATCTATACACAAACCAAAATCTAACTCGAGAGGAAAGAGCTACAGAGTGCAATAGGCAAAGGCCAAAGACATTTTTCCCTCCCAGAAGGTAAAAATTCTAGTCATTGCTCGGATTTTAAGGGTCAGTTCTCGAAGTTCAATGCCAAAACAAGGAAAACAAAATCTTGGAGACAGCCTTACATGCAAAGTGAAAATTCTAGTCATTGCTAGGATTTTAAGGATCAACTCTCTATGTTAAAATAAGAAAACAAAAGTCTTGTTGACAACGATACATCATAGTTATTAATGGCAGAAACAAAATCATATGAGATGGGATGACCTTGGGATTTGAAACGATTACTCCAAACGCACTGAAAGTATCATGCAAAAGTTTTTCATCAACATCCTGCAAAGAATACATATATACACAGTGGTTTTTAGTTAAGGTACACGAATAGCATAGCCAAGAGACATCTTCCTTGAGAAATCAAATGAATAAACCTACAGGATCAAGGTTTCCGATGAAAAGATTAGCCCCGACATCCAAGCTCTTTTTATCTTGTGACGCCTGCAACAAACAAAGAGCATCCCAAATTGTGTTCACTATTCCACACAAACAGGGAAGAGCTTCAAAGTGAAAATGAAAGCAGAAATGGGTACCTTGTTCACACGTATCGGCTTCCCATAGAGTTTAATCATGTTCAATACCTTAATTGCCTACAAAATTGTGGAGAAACCCCATGTATAGAACAAATCATCATTAGCAAGGTATCATTCTCACAATGCCGAGGCATTCAATAGACAAAGACCTGCTTACATAGTCAGCATCTTCTTCGCTTCGGAACTCCACAAATCCATATCCTTGGTGCAGGTTAGTCACCCTATCCTTTGGCACATAGACATTCACTGAGCCAGCAGCAAGCAAAGAGATTCTCAGAATCAACTTCAAACCCCACAGAGCTCGAAAAGGAACCACCGAACAAATCATAATTGAATTGATTGAACCAAGGAAGACATACCTACGGGTCCAGCTTGAACAAACAACTCCCATAGCAATTCCTCACTCAACTATCAGAAAAATAAAGGCACGAAATCTCAGCAGACAGTAAGGAAGTGTTCCTAAGGAAAGGAATTTGTCCATTTTTCGGAACCACAAGAAAGGAAGAAGACGGGGAAAGTTGACGAACCTGGGGATCGAGGTTGCCGACGTAGGCGGTGGCGTCTTGATTCCTCTCGGCGGAGTGTTGGCCGAGCAAATTCGCTCCAACGCCGGGAGTGATTCGGGTCGTCATTCCGACGGTTCTCTGTGATTCCCCTGGCTATCGTCGTTGTAACCTAGTCTGGTTTCTTCACACTGGTAAAAACCCTAGTCCCCTTCCCTTTTCTGCTTCTACCGGACTGCTGCAAGTGTTGCTGGACTTTCCAAGCAGAGTATAATACTATTCCGAAGTGAGGCCGTGAAGGGAAAATGAAAAAAGAAAATTCCACTAAAAAGAGCACAAGATTGTGGCGGGCTATTTCTATCGTCGTTTCTGCAAAATTGGAAGCCAGAAGCGAGTCGGACTTCAAGGCCCAAATTGCTTTTATTTTTTAAGAGTTTCTGGGTCAAAGAATGGGCTTATAACGACGAAACAGATAGGTATCCAGACCACGGGCCCAAAGGTGAGAAGGGCTTTGTACTTCCATCACTACCAAGTCGCTATGGTATAACGTCAGGAACAACGGTGTTGATTAGGAATGGCAATGGGGCAGGTCCGGGCCGGGTATCTCGATATTCATACTCGCCTCATAGTAGGTCGGGTCCAGGTCGGGTAATTTATCATGGGGCACGGGTCGGGGCACGTCGACCCAATGGGTATGTAATTTATGTGAAAACCTTTAAAATTATTGATTATGTTCATTAAAAGACCAAGAAATAAACCATAATATGATAAAATGTAGTTAAAGTATTCGAAAAATTGAGGTTTTCACTTATTTACAACTTTTTTATAGCTAAAATATGAGGTAATATGAAGAAAATTCTAAGTAATTTGACTAAGATTACATGTAATTTAGGCAAGTACGGGTCGAGAATGAGGCGGGTCAGGTCAGGTCGACGAGAGGTGCCCATACCCGCCTCGCCCCGTCTACGGGACGGGTCGAACCCGCCCCAAAACAGGCCAAACAGGTCGGGTAAAACGGGTCAGGTCGAAATTGCCATCCCTAGTGTTGCTCATATGATAGGAGATTTATGGGCGTTGAAAATGACACAATTGTATGATAAATATACTTATTTTTAGGGCTAATACCACTGGAAAACCCGAACTATTAACTTTGTGTCATTTGTGTCATAAAGTATTCGATATAACAATTGTGTCCTAAACTATTTTTCTGTTAGAGTTGACCAGCGTTGACCGTTAGTTTTTAACAGAAACTCTAGTCAGCGCTGATGTGCAAGATGACATGGAATTTTAAATTCAATTTTAATTTAATAGTCTTTTAAAATTGTATTTTAAAAGTAAAAAATAAAACTCTCGGCACCTCACCCCTCCCACCTTATCTCTCCCTCCCTATCGCCTCTGCCCCTCGCCGATTTCCTCCTCTGCCTCGCGTCTCCTCTCCTCATCCCCAATACAAAATCGGCTGTGGACGACGGTTGTGGACGATTTGCAAAAATCAAATCGCTCGGGAATTTGGCGGTGACAGTGAGCTTCTATTTCGGAGTCAAGGGAAGAGGAACGACGAGAGTGGTTGTGTAGCCAGATCTCCCGACCATCCATTTGGGGATTTACCCTTCCAACCTCCGCCGCTGCTTCCGTTGGAGCCTCGACCGCCGCAACCTAAAGCCGCTGCTCCCGTTGAAGGCTCGACCGCCGCAACATGAAACCGTTGCTCCTGCCACTCCCGTTGAAGCCTCGTCACCTCTACAGATCCAATGAAACCAGAAACCCAGATTAAATGAAACCCAGAAACGGCGGCGTTGAAATTAGATCTGCAGTGACGATTTGGAAGGGGTACGACGATTTGGAAGGGGTTGGAATCAAGCCGAAAAAGAAAATAGTAGTCATTCAGGTTCTCGGAACGAGCTCAGCGTTCCTAATCTTGCGATAATTGTTCGTCGGTTTCTCTCTGCGTAGCCGAGCCGATTGAAGAAAGAGAGAGACGCACACAGCGTGGAGATGGAGAGAGAGTGGGGATACAGACGAAGCAACAAATGGAAATGGAAGGGATACGAGCTTCCCTCCGCCTCCTCGTCGGCGATTTAGAAGGTATCGAGCTCCAACCTGGTTCGGAATCGGCTTCGTCGCTACCGGCCACTGTACACAGGAACCCCTATCACCGCCAATCGACTTCTTCTTCCTCCGTTACCGCCAAATCCAATATGAGAGAGAAAGATATATTTGTGCCGAGTTGCGGCGCTAGGCTAGTCGGGTTGCGGCTGAGTTAGGCCAGTCGAAGATTAGAGGCGAGCGAGATCGAAGAACAGAGGCGGAGATGAATCGTCGTGGCGGGGCGGCTTTTGGTTTTACAGAGGATCGAAGAACAGAGGCGGAAGGAGGCGTTTCTTTTAATTTCTAATTTTTCTATGTTTTAAAATAATTAAATTTTGAATCAAAAATAATATTTAATGATGTGGCATCTACATGTCAGCAACCTTTTTTGCCACGTTGGCAAATATATGACGTCCGTTTGGTCAACCGTTATTTATAACGGTCAACAAAATCGTCATGACATAAATGACACACAACTATAATAAGTTAGGACACAATTGTCATATCGAATACTTTAGGACACAAATGACACAAAGTTAATAGTTCGGGTTTCCTAATAGTATTAGCCCTATTTTTTAAGTATTGTCATAACAAGAATAGCAACAAAGCTCCTCCATCGTAAGAGAACTATATAATAAAAATCCAACAAACTTAGGGGTCGTTTGGAAGTTGCGATTGTTTTGTTGAGATTGTCATTATGCATGTATTGTTTACAATGCATCGTTTTTTTGTTTTTTTAGCAGAAACAATACATGAATTGTTTATGTGATGTGACAGAAACTATCACTCATTTTGAGTGATTGTTATATCTCAACTTTTAGTTGTGATTGTTGAGATAGTTGAGTTGAGATTGTTTTGTCTCTGCTTTTAGCTAATGCGACATACATAATCACACATACCAAACGTTGTATTCTATAATGCATCAAATTCGACAATACATATATAATATCATACATGCATTCTTAACAATACATCTATTTAACAATCGCAACTTCCAAACGACTCCTTAGAATTTGAAAGGAAAGATGAAAATCTATACAGAGTAAGTCGAATCAAAGAAATAAATGTGTAGAGCATTTTTCAAATCTATATGAGAACAATAACCAAATAAACTTCTCACATATACCTCAACCTTTGTACTAATTTCAACTCACTTACCAGCAAATGTATCTATTAATATTGGATGTCTCTAATTACATAAGCTTATTTCACTAGCAGTGGTCGACCGATTAATGAAAGTGATAGACCACTTAATGAAAGTGATAGACCACTGGGTAGAAGCAATTAATGGTTTTCTCCAAACCACCGTAGCAAAATCCTAAATATAATGTTACTAACAACTCTTCCTACCCAGTTGAACGAATGCCACCTAATTTATAACTTTGTTTTGTAAAGAACCGTTTGGAGAATGGGAGATTGAGCATACATTCATATTATAGTTTGTTTGCTTGATGGATTTGGTGAAATTTTGGTAATGGATTTGATTCCATGTTGAACTTTGTCCAAAATTCATTGTTTGTTTCAAGTATTTGGAGGTAACAAATCCGTGGGACCCATGGACTTTGAGGGTCCAAATCTGTGGTCCCCACAGACTTTAAAATTCCACCCCTTTAGGTGAGAATTGATCATGGACTTTAAAGTCCATCATTTTTTATCAACCTACCCCTCATATTTTCATTCTCTTCTTATATCATTGAGGGTAATAAAGACAAATTTCAATTCATACATACAAATTTAATTAACAAAATTCATATTGAAATCCATGAAACAAACAATCATATATGAACTCAAAACTTTCATATATCTACGGTTTTTCAAAATCCAAGTTATACCAAAACTTTCATTTTTCAAATTCACGAAGCTATTGTTTTTTGCAGGGTAGATCTTAAGTTGATAGATTTCAAATCTCTAAATATTTCCACAATTGTTAACATTATATAACTTTATTGGTGTGATTGTTTTTTTCAATTATATCCCTTCCTTTTGTTATCTATCATGCCAAAATTAAGGGTAAACGTGTCAGTTGATACAAAGTTAGAATCTATATTTTCTTCATGGATGGGGCAAGCTCTTCTATTCTGGTTCATGGTTTCTCTTAGCTATATGGTTCGACCGAAGAGAGATCGAGCTTCAAGGGGTCGTTTGGAGAATATGAGTTTAAATTTATAGATGGTCAACATTAATCTAAAGAGTCTAACTCTTTGGATTGTTCAAAACATATTTTAAAATGTTTATTGGTTGGTAACTGTAACTATTAACTTTCAATAGAAAAAAATTAAGCTTATATTAAATAACATGTTTATTCATAATAAAAAATTAGAGTTGTTCGAGAAATATTGAGAACTTTGTTATTAAATATTTTTAGGACTTTGCTACAATGACATGCATGTCACGGTGACATGCACTTTTCGGTCGACCTCATATATGATTAGGTCGACCTAATCTGTTGTTTCAGTGCAAAAACAGTTTCATGGTGCCTACTTTGGATATTCATATCGTACAATTGGCTAGATGGAAATTGGAGATTAAAGGCTTGTTTTGAAACTGAAGTGTCCCTCTACACATTAAAGTACTTGGGAGCTCAATAGAAAGTCCAGAAGACCATTTTTTAACCTGACCAAAAGGCTATGCCAAAACTGGAAAGCTGCCTGAAAATGGCTAAGTCTGCCAACGTGTTTGTCAAGCCTACTTTGGAGCTCAATTTGAGAAGCATGGATGCGAGTCAAGTCCAAGGGCCTCTACCACGTTAAATTAAGTATTTTTTTTTTTTACAAAGGCAAGGCATTGGATGAAAGATTGAATATCTTTAACGCTTCAAACAAAAGGCTCGAAGTTGCTACGAAGGTTGTTTTTCTGGCAGCTTGCTTGTGCTCGAAGTCAACCAGAAAAACAGTCTTCGTAGCAACTTCGACCCTTTTGTTTGAAGCCTTAAAGATATCCAATCTTTCATCCAATGCCTTGAATTTGTATAAAACATACCTAATTTAACGTGGTAGAGGCTCCTGGACTCGACTCACATTCATGCTTCTCGAATTGAGGTCCAAAATAGGCTTCACAAACACGTTTCCAGACTTAGCCATTTCCAGGCAGTTTCCCAGTTTTTCCTATCGAGCTCTCAATCACTTCAATATGTAGAGGGACACTCAAGCTTCAAAACAAGTCATTAGTCTTCAATTTCCATCTAGCCAATTGTATGATATGAATATCCAAAGTAG